ATAAATGTAAGGCGTTACAAACTTAGCTACGTAACATATTTTTACAATAACTTACAAAATTGTTCTATAAACTTATAAATGTCAAGACTAGGGCTGATAGCATTCAAAGGTTAAACCATAGAACAAAAGCGGAAAAATATTTCTTTTCTTCTTGGAGCTGATAGAGGGTCATAGAGAGGTCTCTATTGCTAGAAAGTAAAGCTGCACAATCAACATTTATCCTTTGTGTGCGTCAAGAGCTCAACGAGAAGGAGAAAAATTATTTGTACCAATGAAAATATATGTCAGAAATTTCTTACGCTTTATGTGGTTAGTGTGAAGGAAAGTAATACAAACACAAATGAGCCCCCACCCACACCCTCAGCACTTAACCCAAATATTGCTAGTGTCATTCTCCACACTGTTCAGTATATGTTATCTTCGGTACTGGTGAGGAGAATTTGTATAATAATCAAGAAATGTTTGACTTGCATTTCCTGTTTTCTCACAACCGTTATTTTTGATTGAGCAGAGCTACCAAGAGGAGAAATAAAATGATCACCTATGTTAGGGGTTTTGACAAGGGTTAACTGAAGCGTTTTCAAGCCCGACCCACTGTTATGAGACGAGAGGTGATACAGGGACCTTAAATATGGTAATAGTACAATCAACGTAAATAGAAAATAAAAATACAAAAAGTTGCTTATTTACTTCTTTGACGGCATAGCTAACATACATTATCCGCCTTTTTAAACAAAGGTGTATTTACACCCCTTTTATCACTACAAATGGACGATCAAAATAATTTAAAAGCAAAATTTACAAGCTGTATGCACGTCTTCTTTAAAACTATTTTATAAATCACGTTAGCAACACTGATGGCTTGTCCTTATCCCTTTGAGGAGTGAGTAGGAGAGAACCTGGGAACGAGGCTGTCACAAGAAAAAGCAGCCTAATGTATACTCAGAGAAAGGAGGGAACGGCGCCTTTTTTCCTGGCCACCGAGTGTTTTTTTAATATTTGCTTGTAGATGGTGTAAGTTGAACGGATTTTTTTCTTTCCTTGTGTGATACATGCACGCACAAAATACCATTCTACCTTTTTTCTTGAGAGGGGGCGCGAATCGAAGGCGTCGCATGCTTGAGGATTGTTAACTAGTTAGGTGTGTATAAGATGAGGGGTTAATGTTTGGGTGGATTGCGCAGCCTCATTTGGTATTGGGACTGATGCTGTTGCTATGCTTGCTGCTGCTGCTGTATCCTTTCTCCAGTTAATGGATTTACCAAGTAACCATGTTGTCTTAAGATTTCCCAGACTGCGTTTTGAAATGTCCCTAAATCACATGGCTCTGAAAGATTAGATGGCGTTTCAGTCCCATACACCCTATTCTCTGTATAAACGTAACAGATTACTCTCCGTCGCTTCTTGGCCGATGTTTCTATGGCAGTCGTAGAAACACGATAAGATAGAGTGAAACGCTCAGCTGTATTAAAGTAACTGCGTAGTATAAGGACATTCGGACAGAAATTTGTTTTGTTAAGTCCATATGTAAGAACCTCTTCAGCCTGACAAATGAAGCAATATCTTATTCAAAAATAAAAGGAAATAAAGCACAGAAAACACTTGTACAGATGTGGGTGTCTTAAGGACCATTGAATATAATGAGAGTGAATATAATGTTACTGGGAAGTAGATACCTCTTATTTCGTGGACAATTATTCTCATCCTTAACTAAGAACCTGTGCTCAACTTCGCACCTTGGTTCATCACTACTGAATCCAACATCTAAGAACCATTTCTGAATCGGCCTTTCACAGAAGATCACGGGTTCTTTATGCAGGTTTCGTTGTATTCTTATTCTCCATTAAAATAACTGGTCGACCTCTAATTTATCACGGCTATTGAAATACGAGGTTTGACATATATTTACGTTTTATGTGAATTTAAACATACAGAATTTTTTACTTCTCACGGAGGTTATTTGCTAAACACCAAACTTTAAGTTCCTAGTGTTGGATTTTTAGTAGCAGGTCTAGATTGCACAAAATTTGGCTCTTATCAATTTCCAATTTTTTTGTTTATTGTTGTCATGGTAATATCGATTTTACTTAAAACTACGTTTTGGCAAACTTCAATCCATAGTCAATCACTGGCGAAAATTTTATAGCGATCGGACATGGATAAAGTCCCCTTTAAGGCGACTGAAAAATATCGGTATGGTCTCCGAAAAACTCTATCGAAACACCTTAATACACCTCATTATTATTTTGGTAAGCGGACTTGCTACCATGGTAACGTGAAGTTGTTTTTAAGATCTGCGTTATTTTTGTATAATCGGAAATTGTTTCCAACCGCCGGTCTGCAAGTCTGTGTAACATTCTCAGCGGGGGTCATATTTTGCACGTAAGTGTTCAAGGTGGGGTAACCCGCCTAGCCTATTTCGGATCCGTGTTTACAACAAATTCGTTGACTGAACAACTAACTACCTTTAGTCGAGGCTTTGCATCATTAAAAGTGGCAATAGAAAGCCACAACACTTAAGGGATGCAGTAAGTGCCAGAGTAGAAGAGAATTAACCGCCAACACAAGTCGTTTTCTCGCCATTTTGTTTGGTTTACATGCATATTGACCATCTAATAATATTGAGAAAATGCAGCCCAGGATGACGGGGTTGCAAGATTGTGTCTAAACGCAGTTTATATTTTCACTCCACCTGAGCGGGTTACGCCACCTACCTAAGTTCCCCCACCTCCATGTAACAGGCCCTTAATGGTTTTAGTGGCGACTTGGGAGTATGCTTCGAAGTATGTCTATAACAGCATGTCGAATGTGTCTCATCTTCCAGCTGTAGATCAAAGGATTGAGAGATGAATTGGAAAGCACAATTGTCCTAACATAATACCACAAATGCTGGATCAAGGCAGTTTCACCACAGAACAGTTCGGCAAGGTTGACACAAAAGATTGGCACATAACAAGCCAAAAACAGCCAATAGATGTAGAATGTAGCAAGTGTAGTTTTTCTCAGCCTCACAGCATTTTTCATTTGTCTATTCTGTGCTTCTTCTTGTGCTTGCAGAGCTTGGATGTGGCCTGTGTGGTGTCGTACAGATGCGTATATCTTGTAGTGGAGAAATCCTGTGGTTATGAAACAAACAGCGTCGATGGCTGGAAACATAATCTCAGGAACTCTGTTTGGAATCCATTCCAAATCAGCTGCAGGGAGAAGTAAAGAAAGAAATGCGCTGATAACCCAAATAGATGTCACTACAGCAATAACACGCTTGTGGGTTACAAGTTCCTGGTACCTGAGATGAAGATGAATGGCTAAGAATCTATCAACAGTTATAGCGACAACACCAAAAAGCGATGCACAAGTAAGTAGAATATTCTGAAAGGCCGAGAAACTGGTAAATACTGTACCATAAGCATCATCACTAGTGTTTTGTCGTATTTGAATAATGAGATGTGCAACAAAAACAGGGTGGGCAAGTAAACCAACAGCGAGATCAGAAGCAGCCAAACTCAAGAGCAATGTTTTCAAAGTCCTTGGCAACGACGACGTTTTCCTCAGCGCTTGTATTGTTATGATGTTTAACGCGATAGCGGTGTAAAACAAGAAAACGTTAAGGATGCAGTTAGTGACCGGCGTTGAATACCAAGCCTCCTCTCCTGTCATTGTGAGAGGTTATATAAAAACTGCAATGACGTGTTAGTGCTTCCTATGTAAAGGAAGACTTTTGCAAAGTTTCCATTGGCCTGTTTAAAGTAAGTTTCTCACCGGCACCTGCCCCACTTTGTAGTCTTCCGTTCTATTTTTTCCGTTTCGCAGTTAAATTTCTTAGCCCACTGACTGCCTATAAAGTCTACAATGAAATATTCATTTTATCCTTATTTAAATTTGTTTTCTAACGGAACTGACCGGGGGGGAGGGGGGGGGGGGGAGGACTCCCATTCAGATTACCTAAGGCTACCCGGTATGCCATGCCTTAAGCAGGGTATCATTCATTTGGTATTGTAGTCCTTTGATAGGGTGCCAAATATCACGGGACCTGATCCGTCTTAAAGACCTAAAACTAAGTTATCTTAACAAAAACCATCCAACAACACTCACTCCAAATTTGTATGCGTTATGAATTGTCCATGTAAACGTTTTGCATTATCGATTTTCCCTCAAACAGGGTGTCATTTTTCCTTTATGGACGTTATTTCCTTTTACAAAATAAGCCTAAAACCCTTCGTGACACGCGCCTATCCTAAATTGGCTTAAGTACTCCCCCCGAAAATGTTAATCATCTAGGCCAAGTTTTGCGGATGACGCAGAGAACACCAAACACGAATTTTAATATAAAGGGTTCTTTAGTGTCAATTCGAGCTCAAAAAGCTCATTAGACGGCACACCACCGAAATTGGAATTTATTTCAATGCTTATTTAACTTTTTGAGAATACAATTAGCGTTGATGGTAATACAGCAGCTGGTTCTTGGTGCATCACAAATATCAACGGTAGAAAAGCAGGAACTAAACATATCATGGCCCCTCAGTCGGCATAAGTTCAAAAATGGATCAATAAAAACCTGTTACAACTCTTGGTCACAGTGTGATCTTTACTTACAACGAATGCCTTTTGGTCTTTTAAGGATGTTTCCCCTAATTGTTTGTGCATATTCTTACTGAAAACTTAACTCATGTTGCAATGTCACAACCCGCGCACAAGCCAGCAAGCTATTACGGTACCTTAGACAGCTTTAAATGGTCGCTGACTCTGACACTGGATAATTTGCTTTACCAATTTGTGGGAGGTAAAAAGATAAAACTGATCAACAAAAACATGTTTCTGAGAACTTTTTAAGTTTTTAATTTTTGAGAACGCGACGTCGATTCGTCATTAATAAAAAATAAACTTCGTTACAGAGAGATGAAACTTTATTGCGAAAAAGTATAATATCTCCTTTGCAGCGAGAATGCAGTGAATCAAGACATTTAAACAACAAAAAAAAAAATTTGCAAATCAATAATAATATAATAATAATAATAATAATAATAATAATAATAATAATAATAATAATAATAATAATAATAATAATAATAATAAGACGACGACGAAGAAGAAGAACTGAATAAAGACATATAAATTAAAAAAATAGTAATAATAACACAAGCACAAACAGGCACAAAAACTTTGCTGGTAGGTCTTAGTCAAAACAAGGTACATATGTATAGAACCTGATCCGACAGTCACCTGATCCAGAATCTTCATTTACAGTTTATGTTCAACAGTTCAAGTTGACGAGTTTTAACCATTTAGAACGAAATATTAATAATCTGTCAAGAAAATGGCATACTTTTTTAAACAATAACTTCCATTAATTCTAAAGTCTTTTTTGTTTTAGTCATTGATATCAAAGGTTTTAAGGGAGTACTTGGGGAGTACTAGAAGTTATTTAGCTGCGTAGAAGAAAGAAGAATTACCAAGCCCTAACTAACGATAAAATTGATCTTCCCTTTCAGTCGTTTTATTTTATATTATCTGGTTAAAAAATGTATGCTTTCTTTCAAAGCTACAGCTGCTGTTTTTGATGTAATAGGTAGTTGTTATTGGCTGGTAGCGATCACCTGGTCTCTTCGCCCCACCATTCAGGCAATCATACACGCGTACGGAGAGAATTCACGCGCGCGCGACTATAGCGAACCCGCGCAGGCTAATTTCAGTTCATTAGCGGCTAGTCTCTACAAACGAACTTTCTGCTTGCATTTTGGCAAATTTATTACATACACATCACCGTTGACCTAACAATTTTTTCGCAGCTTATCGGGAACTTTTTGTATAAACTATTCTTTCAAATGTTGACATTGTTTTGCTCGTTCTCGCCGACGTTGACTTGTTCATAGAAACCCCTACAAACTGTTCATCAAAATAACTCATGGTTTAAAGCTTGACAAGTAAATTCTTCAATGGTCAGCATAATACTTTCAATACTTGGTTCAATATATAACGAAAAGCTTGAGAAACTTCGCGAATACCGAGACCTACAATAGCCCCCTTGAATCTCTTCGCCTTCTTTTTTAAAACAGTTCGACTCTGATAACCGTAGAACTGTTAAAGGGTATAAATACATCAATGGTCCGCTAGTGCTGCGTGCAACAAAGGAAATAGGAGACGTTTGCACGCAGGCAAGCCAGTGCTTGGCTCGAAATTTTTAGGTAAAAGTAAAGAAAATAGTGTACAAATACTCACGTTTCCATGTTGCTGTTTTCGTAAAATTTTGTTCCCTTTGAGAAACGGCAACACTGCTGGCGGGCTGCTGGCGCGAAATTTGAAGTCACATGACGCGGCCGGAGGCGGGAACAATTAATGCGATGTTCGCGTAACCAAACGAGCCAGAGGACGGGTTGGGACAATGGGCAGGGTGTCGTCTAAGACGAAGATTAACGACGTGGAAGGGGGTTTAATGAGGGATTTACGTTGCCTTAAAATACTCATCTAAAAAAAAAATGGTTTGAACGTTCTTTTAAAAAAGAGAGAAAAATTTACAAAGGAGACGGAAGATTTTACAGAGGTACTCGTTTTAACTTTCCTGCACGTGAGTTGCTAGGACGTTGATGTTTAACATATTCCGTTACAGTACAAGAGTACTGTGATCTGTAGAAAACTGCCCGCTCCCGGCCGCAGCAAATGATCGAGGATATTGAAAGAAAGGTAAATAGGATAAATAGGAGACGACTAGAAAAGACAAAGAAAAAAGCATTTACAGAAGACAAATTCTTTAATTCAGTCATGTAACCGACTTCACCCAATACGAATATAAATGTAAGGCGTTACAAAGTTAGCTACGTAACGTATTTTTACAATAACGTACAAAATTGTTCTATAAACTTATAAATGNGGAAGGGGGTTTAATGAGGGATTTACGTTGCCTTAAAATACTCATCTAAAAAAAAAATGGTTTGAACGTTCTTTTAAAAAAGAGAGAAAAATTTACAAAGGAGACGGAAGATTTTACAGAGGTACTCGTTTTAACTTTCCTGCACGTGAGTTGCTAGGACGTTGATGTTTAACATATTCCGTTACAGTACAAGAGTACTGTGATCTGTAGAAAACTGCCCGCTCCCGGCCGCAGCAAATGATCGAGGATATTGAAAGAAAGGTAAATAGGATAAATAGGAGACGACTAGAAAAGACAAAGAAAAAAGCATTTACAGAAGACAAATTCTTTAATTCAGTCATGTAACCGACTTCACCCAATACGAATATAAATGTAAGGCGTTACAAAGTTAGCTACGTAACGTATTTTTACAATAACGTACAAAATTGTTCTATAAACTTATAAATGTGAAGACTAGGGCTGATAGCATTCAAAGGTTAGACCATAGAACAAAAGCGAAGAAATATTTATTTTCTTCTTGGAGCTGATAGAGGGTCATAGAGACGTCTCTATCGCTGGAAAGTAAAGTTGCAAAATCAACATTTATCCTTTGTGTACGTCAAGAGCTCAACGAGAAGGAGAAAAACTATTTGTACCAATGAAAATATATGTCAGAAATTTCTTACGCTTTATGTGGTTAGTGTGAAGGAAAGTAATACAAACACAAATGGGCCCCCACCCACACCCTCAGCACTTAACCCGAATATTGCCAGTGTCATACTCCACACTGTTCATTATATGTTATCTTCGGTACTGGTGAGGAGAATTTGTATAATAATCAAGAAATGTTTTACTTGCATTTCCTGTTCTCTCACAACCGTTATTTTTGATTGAGCAGAGTTACCAAGAGGAGAAATAAAATGATAACCTATGTTAGGGGTTTTCACAAGGGTTAACTGAAGCGTTTTCGAGCCCGACCCACCGTTATGAGATGAGAGGTGATACAGGGACCTTAAATATGGTAATAGTACAATCAACGTAAATGGAAAATAAAAATACACAAAGTTACTTATTTACTTCTTTGACTGTATAGCTAACATACATTATCCGCCTTTTTAAACAAAGGTGTATTTACACCCTCAATATCACTACAAATGGACGATCCAAAGAATTTAAAGCAAAATTTACAAGCTGTATGCACGGCTTCTTTAAAACTATTTTATAAATCACGGTAGCAAAACTAACGGATTGTCCTTATCCCTTTGAGGAGTCACAAGAAACAACCTCGTTCCCAGGGTTCTCTCCTACCCGTCCCTATGGAGCGAGTAGGAGAGAACCTGGGTACGAGGCTGTCACAAGAAAAAGCAGCCTAATGTATACTCAGAGAAAGGAGAGAACGGCGCCTTTATTCCTGGCCACCAAGTATTTTTCAACGTTTCTTTGTACATGGTGTAAGTTGAACGGATTTGTTTATTTCTTGTGTCACACATGCACGCACAAAATACAATTCTGCCTTTTTTCTTGAGAGGAGGCGCGTATTCGAGCGCGTCGCATGCTTGAGGATTGTTAACTAGTTGGCTGTGTCTAAAATGAGGGGTTAATGTTTGGGTGGATTGCGCAGCCTCATTTGGTATGGGGACTGATGCTGTGCTTGCTGCTGCTGCTGCTGTGATTGTTGCTGTTGTTGGGCTGCCTGTTGTTGCTGCTGTAGTAACTGAACAGCTGGAGCAGCAGTCCTCTGTCCCAGTGTCACAGTCGCCATCTGCTGAGGTTGCTGCGACTGCTGCTGCTGAACCTGTGCTGTAGCAAGTGA